TCAGTAAGATTATTTTACCAACTTTAAGACATTTGTGAGGATATAGAAAACATCTTAGTGCAGTAATGGGCCCAGTGCGTACGCAGTCGCATTCATTATCCGGAAAATACTGACTGTCACTAATTTTCAAACGAACAAAGCTACACAATAATCGGAGGCAGGTCTCACTCTTAGGGACCTTATTTTCTTGTCTTATGTAACGGAACTCAAGTGGATATGAGTATAATATTCATGGACAGTAGATATCACCCCTGTGTCGAGCAGGGCAATTTGGTTCCGAATGTCGGTGATACTGCTGGCGTGTAGTAAGTTAGCATTAGTACTTTGGTGTGTAATCGTTGAGGAGCATATGAGCATGTTAAGCTCGCTTAGGGGTTAGGTCACCATACTGTGTTGTGTCGAGTTAGCAAGGTGGCTGGGTAGGTGTTAAGGGTCTGTTGAGAGCGTGGGACAAATACCATGTGGTTAATTCATCGCATTGGGCGTATGCTACTCACAAAGTGATGAGTAGCTAGAGTTAAGAGAGAATTTTTAAAGGTCTCGAAATGAAATGTCGAAAGTGGGTTCTAACCAAAAAGCCGTACAAGATTTCAAAGGTGGAAAACTCTCGTAAATGTGGTTTTAGGTGTAGAGTCCAGCAACGTCAAAACCTGATTCTGAATAAAAGATTTCAGTGGTCATGCAATCGTGACTCTTGGTAGATTGTGTGGAGCTAAAAGTGATCAATGAAATGTATCATTTTTGTGTTTTTCCTGCTAATATTTTGAGGTCAAAACGAGCTGGTAGAAAAATACCGTCGCGTGAGCAGGTCGAACTTCTTTGTGCGATGCTCAATGGTTGGTCGGGACCTGATGTACAGTTCAAGCGCTATTGTATAAAAATGGGAACTACGAAGAATATGTAGCGGACTAGGACCTTATCAGCGTGTTCGGATAAATTAACAAGCAACGTAACCAATACAAGATCACAAAATCACAATAGGAAAAGAATGAGTAGTCAGATGGTGACTCACGAATGTGTAGATCCAATGGTCCACTACACCAATCCAAATGCAGTGATCCAACGATCCACTACACCGATCCAAATGCGGTAACTGGAGATGGTTCAGCATGAGTGATATATTTCACGGTAAGAAAATTATTCACGGATAAAAAATGTCACAGGGATTTATAGTGACGTTCAACAGTTGACACAAACACATAGATTTGGACCCACTGGTTTCAGCAGTCAAAAAACAGTTCAACGGAGCGTAAATACTCTCGTTCAGCAAGAAGTCAGCAGGTCGCACCGGAAAATTGTGTATTCGTAACATTAGAACAGACGTCATGATACAATGTGTACAACAGTTACAAAGTGTGGTTTAAGTTCAGGAAGAATGGTAAATGTGACAACGGATTACAGACACTACAAATAAAAGGACTTCACGGGTGCTACGAGTTAAAGTACATGTAGCACGAATGAAAGGCACATCTGGAAGCGGACTTCTTGATTCAACAATGCACTTTTGGTGCCTAATCAATATCAACGTCTGGTCCGTTGTTGAAGCCACACAACGAGCTTGTAGCTGCCGAATAAGATCACCGCGTCACCCAACATTTTAATGCTTGATGTCGGTCCTTATAGATTCTGGTATACGCTTGGGCATGATGTCATTGCTTCATGTTGTACCTCAAGATGACCTTATGTGTGCATCTTGTATTAACAAGGTAGCCATTGAAACGTTCTCTTACCTAGGTTTCCTTGACTCCTCTATTACTAGCTGAATGTTTAAGCACGGAGATTCTGCTTCTTCCCATGATGGTTTAACCTTCGATTGCCTTTGTCTGCTGCATCACTCTTTACGTAGACGTGCTTTCAGCAGCGACTGACTCAGATGATTAAGGCATAGTTTGAACCACCTAGCTTTCCTGACTATATTATGATCTGAATATATAGGTCTTGGTAGGTCGTAAGCGAGTCTTGGCAATTTTGCTGATCAAATTGCTATTGTTGCACAATTGGTTGCTGAGTTTTCGAAGCTGGATGTAATGAATTTGCTGTGAAGAATATAAAACGGCACAGTGCACACTGCGGGTCTCATAACCATTACTGGATGAGTTTTCCTGACTTACCTCTCAAGAAGTAGGCCGTTGTCTTAAGCCAACAACTGCTTATCCAGTGGCGTCGCACCTAACCGACCTCTAGCGGTTCGGGATGACCGACTGTTTCCTTTAAATGGTCTTACCTGGGATAACAGCAGAGACCATAGTTGTTCCGTCCCTTTATTCTAAATCAGAGTTGGTGTGGTCACTGGTAATTAAAGACACGCTGACATGCAAGACTGTATTTTAGAGCAAAACATACAAAAATATCGGTTATGATAATGGGAGTAATTAACATGTCGGAAGGCCCTGGAATGTATTTGATGCAGCCGAAAAACTTACCAATACCCACAGACCATATTTCGTCTGACAATCAGTGTGAATACGATTCAGCTGACGGAGCTGACGTGAGTCAAAACGTAATAGACGACCGCAAGTTTCATGGCATAAGGATTACTTCTAACCACTCTTATCCTATCCCATACAGTTATCTGAGGCCAAGATGGACTATGGGGTACGTTGAAAGTAGGGGAGGTAAAGCCGGTGCAAGGCATACGATCTATGCCGTAATTACCGTGGGAAAATAGTTTACATAATTGTTTCTCAAATTCCATCCTAAAATAAATAATTTACTGTTGTGTAGCGGGTAAATCGTAAACTAAGATTTAACCCGGCTTTCTTTTTTGAATGTCCCATCCTTTGAACTTTCAACACCGAAACAACGCACTGTGGTTTCCCGTCGAAGGGTTATCAACAGAACGGAATCGACCATACCCCAGGAGTCACCACTTTGCACGTTTCAACTCCGAAAGCATTGCGAATGTGAAAGTCAGGGTGGCAAGCTAGAGAAAAGAAGACGTGCTAAAGATCAGAACGCACTAAAAGGAGCGTCGCGGGCAGGATTCGAACCTGCGCGGGGAGACCCCATTGGATTTCGAGTCCAACGCCTTAACCACTCGGCCACCACGACCGGGCCAACTGCTCAGTAAAATCTTTGCAGTGAGCATTGGAAGTTAACCGTTGGCCTGAGATAAATAAGTTGTACGACACATCATAGCTGATAGCGTATAGGGGATTAAATTCATGAAAACTAGCAGTCTGTGATTACTGGTTTCGTCAGAGATTTTGCTTGGGTGACAAGTAATCAATATATCGAAGTCTGTCAAAACACCGCCCCAGATTTCAATAGTTATCCAAAACGTGCAGACTACCTTCGCCACCTTGCGGTGCTTCAGAGTGAGGTTCACATATTGCGGCTGCCGACAGGCTGGCAGTACCTATTTCTTCTCTCCGTTCCGAGTTCAAGTTCCCTTAGTGACCGTGATATTGCGATAAGAAACCTATTAAGTCAGTTGGAATAAGGCGTCAGTCATGTCAGTTTAACCGTGCGTTATTTCATTGAAAGTATTATTTTCTGGTACAGGACCAACGAAATGATTCTCAGCCGAGAAGCTTCGTAAAATAATTTCGTGTACGAAGCGATTTCTGAACATGAAAGATTTCATCAACAAAGCTATGGTATTTCGCCGCTTGATGCCGGTTTAGCCAGGAGATAGTCATTGCAATCTCAAACGTCATTTTGCAACCAACGCCTGCATGGTCTCTGCACTTGTAAGCTCGACTGGCTACGTTTTTTAAATATCATGGAAAAAAGTGAGGTTGGATCCTACGTGAGATAATTCCTTTTCCCATAGAACAAGCTAGCCTAGAGGTCAAGCAAAGTTCTCAGTCAGGCAGCTGCTCTTAATGTTCCACCCACCTACAAATAGGAATGGTCAGTGTTCTATGTGCCCCTGTTGACAATTACTATGAGTGCCAGCTACTGACGGCAACCGATAGAATTATGATTCTACCAGCCAAAACCTAAAGCCAGTATACCGAATCGTGTACAACTTAAGAGGGCAGCATGTCAAATGAAACCTGGGATGCTTAGCCCGACCGTAGAACACTACAACATAGCTGTTTAGTAAGTTCGCAAATGATAAGCTAATCTACTAGTGTTTAAAATAATGGTCCTGTGATTTGCCTTTCTGCGTTTTCTCTATGTTTATCCGCGTGGTTGGTTGACCATACCCTCATTAAAAAAACAGCCCGGACTATATGTGGGTGTTATTCTGCCCTTAACTATTTGCATGCAACAAAAAGAAACAAGCCAGTTATCAGAGTAGAAATGATGTCGTTTTGGTATGTAATTTTCTTGGTAAAGTATAGTAAAACAAACTGTCGACAGAGAGTTAGGCTTCATTCGAGGAGCTACCGCATCAGTCTGGTTGCTGAGGTAAGTTTTTGGAGTCATTGGCTAAGGGTTACTTCTTTTGAGAATGCTTTTCTGCTGGTACTGCAAGCATTTGGACAAGTGTACTGTTAGGATCCATCAAATCTCTGTTTGACGTATGATTCAATCCTCAAGTGCTATCACTTTACAGGTAACTCAAACGATTGCTTATACTGCCATTATATAGGGAGTTCTGGGGAGATTTTAAACCCGTACGTTCGTTCCACACTTGATGATCATTATACCCAGGCGTTCCGCCCACCATTATTGCCTGTCAGCGAGTGCATCTATTCCAACGTATGTTTGTAACACCATCTTTTGGATAAAGGTGGTGAGATGCTGCTTTGGTAGCATTCTCAGGCAAATGCTCCTTGCGTCAAGGTTACGTGAAAATTAACCAATCAAAATCGTTGAACAGAGCATGGGCAGGCAACAATCGAAGCTGTCGGCTAGCGTTGTCGGGATGAGAGAATAGAGTCGACTTGCTGCCTTATCCTTGTCCCTTACGATCAAATGCTCACCGGGCACTGCGAACAGTGGTAGCTGACCGTTGCTCAGATTAGGATATTATTAACCCGCCTGGATTTGGACAACCCGACGGTTTACGTTTTTGATCAGAAAAACAAAAGAGAAGATTACAGGGACAGTTTCACATCAAAAAATAAGAAGCTTGTTGTTGTTCTCCGTTCGTATATATGGAAATGATTACCTTTTTAAAGCGCCGTTTCTCTTCTGGGGATTTACAAGGAGAAGCGGCCGATAAACGTGAACAAGAAGGTCTGCCGAGCTTTCTGAGATTCGGGACAACAGCCCCTTCTGGACCGCAAGCTCAGCCAAACCAAACGTTCCAGTCCAATTCCATACAGCAGCAAACTCCGTACAGGACACAGGACCAACCAGTACCTGCTGCTGGTCCACTAACAAATGCCGTGTCACAAATACCTCCCGGAACCAACAGACCAAGTCAAGGTCAATACGTCCGAACGGGCACAACAGACGAGTCCAGCACGAATGTTGCTCGTAGCCGTGGAGCATATCCCAGTGCTCCAACTTCTCCAGCAAGAGGTTACGGTGGTTCCGGCTCATTTATGGGACCGATGAGCAACATTACCGGACACATTTCCAGTACCATTATGCGTGGTTTTAGCACAGCGGCATCGACTGCACACAGTATGGCTGCTGGGAGGTCGACATCAACCAAGGAGAAGCAAAAAGTTCTTCTGGTCATTGACGACTCACAGACAGATTGGTGAGTAATTGATTTTGCGCCTAAGGTTTCCGGTTGTGCTGTATGGTCACTGTTCGTAGGAGAATGGTGGTTCAAGACTTAGGGTGTTTTAACTTATTAGCTAAGTGAATTGAGGCACACTGAACCAATTTTAGGGTTGACTCTCCCCAACAAACGCCAGAAGTTTAACACTGAAGTATCAGAACTAGATCACTTGAGCTGAAGAGTATCTATCATCACATGCATTTTGACTCGACTTTCGGACAAGCTATATTCTACATCATTGTTAGTACAGTGAGTTAGATGTGCGTTTAGACAGTAGCTGTCTCATTTGGAATTCGCCATGGCACTACAATAAGCTCTTTTATTGGCCTAGTCCCGTTCAGTCACTCAGTTGTTCAACTCATTTGACGCATATCTTATATACTATCGTAGGAAGTTGGACCTACTGCAAAAAAACCGCTGATATGGAAAAATGCGCTAAAAAATCTTAAGATTGTTTGAAACACCACCCGTTTGTTTAAGTTACAGTTTCGTTGAAAGCATACCGCCAATTCGTCAAGTTAGGAAATCGGCACTTAGGAGCTAAGGTACCTGGGGTAGTGGTAAGCATATCAGTTGAACTCCCTAATGAAACCTCCTAGGCCAAGCTACCGCACGTTCCGTCATCGTGAAAGCTAACTGCACTTCTGATATGAGTTCATGTAAACCACGGCACTGGCAACTTCGATCAGGTTCTTTGGTGTTGGGTATCACAAAACACATCAGCAGTGGAGCGTGAAATATCATCCTTGAGGCAGAAGTAAAAAGAAGCGGAAATGGCAGTGTTTTTCGAGGCGATCTATAAATTGAGAAGCTGGTTGTGGTTCTTTCTCGGGCACATTATTATCCATCCCGATTCGGTCTTATTCGTTGGTTGTTCCTTTGCTAATGATCGATACGGATCGCCTCTGAACTAGGAATTTCATCTGTGCTGTTCCTGAACCGCTTTTACCTTCAAGATTACTAATGCCTGATAAGTTGCAACCCTTTCATCTACATTAGGCCAGACTAAACAAATCTAGACTTCGTACAATACTAAAAGGTTGCTGAAAAATGTTCGACAGCCCACGACCGGTTTCGTCCGTTGGCATACTGCCCAAGTTTTCATAAACTTTATGTCCTGCTTGGACAGACTTAGCCAGATACTCTAATTTACGCACAAGTTTACATTCGATGGGAGACTCCGCTGAGCCTAATTTATGATGGTCTCCTTCAACTGCTTCCGTTACAAAAGACCTCTATAAACGAGCGATTCAGTTGGGATTCAGCTGAGTGTCCTTCGATACCATGGTTTATTTGCAAATGTTGTTGATGAAAGCCAATTCTAGTTGATTCATACTTGCGAAGTACATATCCACACAATGACAAAGCTCACAAATTATTACCTCACATAGTGGGTTGAGTATTCTGTCCTAACGGAATACTTCAACCGTTCTATTACTGCCATCTAATTTCGTATTCATTCATGTATCGGTTGTGCGCGATGTCTTCTGTCTTCTGCCAACTTGCAAACAATGGGTTATCTTCGACGGTGCATTATCCTAATGGATTTTGTTTAGCACAATGAGTGTGACCAATTTCCGAAACTCCAGTCTATGTTCTTTTCATCCTTAATTGACGTTGCTAGCAGGCATGAGGAGGTTAAGCATGTCCTTCTTTAAACCAGGAATATCTTAGTGGTATGCTACTTTACTTCCGGCAACAGGAACCAGAACTTAGCTGAGCCGGTGGCTTCTCAAATGTATCATCGGAGCAAAATGGGAGATTCCTGTGAAACCATCGGAGTGAAACTGTGAATATGTCACCTAGGTGACTGTTTGCAACGACAATTAATGACTTGTACAGTCGACTATGATTCTGGGCCCTTTCAGTTTTCGACACATACTGTTTTGCAACGACGATTTCGGGTTGGTCATGGAAGAATAAACCTCAAAATCATTGTTGGTACAATCCTCATGGAAACACAGTATTCCAACTTCAGGGAAGAAGCACCTTGCTGATTTGTAGATCGGTGCGATAAAGGATAGATAGTACAAAATGCAATACACCTCGCTCCTAATGAAGCGGAAGGATCCAGTTACAGAACTTGGTATAATACACCTTTTTGCAGTCAAACAGGAAGCACATCCAGCCTCAAGAAGCCAAGTTGGGTTCTTTGTCATCATGCCATGCGATCTGTGGCTCAAGTAAGACAACTTGGCTGTTGTTTTATCTCTCATTGATTCGAACGTTCACGTCTCTTGGAAGAAAGAATGTAGAAAGCTTGGTCTCTGTGACTGGTCTTTGCTTATACACTACAGATTTATATGGTACCAGAAACCACTTGCAACTATAAGTATAACTTGGGCTTACCTACTCTTTAATGAAGGAAAAAGAAGAACAGGGGGATTTAATGGGGGGTGCAAGGGTCGAAGAGACTGGATCTTACCGTGGTGTGACGGTTTGCACAACTCAGCGATTGATTGAGCTATACTGGGGATTGTCTCCGTGACACTCACAGAGCCTCTCATACCAGGTTGGTCAATGTTTAGAGGTCTGACGAACACAGTTTCCTGGTCCACCAGGTTGGGGGTTGGAACATGTGGCAACTTGTTCCGTAGAAAAGGCAATGCATTTGCATTTATCCGCCAAACACCGCTGCCTTGCGGTTAGGCTTTTGAGCCAAAAGCTTTGGTTGAGGACCCTAATCGTCCTCCTGTCTAGGTGTGAGCGCCCTGGCAGTATACCACCCCTCGTACAACCATGATTACGGCAGTAAGGCATCGGTTTTGAACACTAATGTCATGCTGTCGACGATGATGATAATGATGACACGGGTCGGCAAGTCATTGAGTGAGGGACGTCAATGTCATACAAGTTTGTGAGACCGGATTTTTCACCGTCCGATTATGTTCAGAGGTCGTACGAGTTTCTTTCGGACACAGAATTATTGGGGTCATGCAGTCGGATTCCCTTCGCTTCTTTGGTTGATAATTGTCTGGATCGTACCAGTCTTGGTCGATTCAGAGACACCCGTTTTATGGCATCGAAAGCATGCTCTTTGTTGATGACACGACATTCATGTCTCTCATTATCGAATTTATAATTCATAGTAATCGTTTTGAATATTCATTCAGGAGAAAAAACAGCTTGTGGAAGGTGTCAATGGTTGTTGCATCTTAAGTTCCCGTATACAGTAAGGACCTAGCTCTCTTATGTGGCACATTTCTTCAGAGTTGACAGTTTTTAATGAATAGAACTCAAAAAACCATAGAGAATGTTTGGAAGAGTCACAGCTATGCCTCACAATCTGAACTTATTGATTCTGACGGTTATCGGTGGTTGAATAGGACAAGTTTGACTGTGTCATTTTGCACGACACTGATTAGTTGCTCCGATTGGCGCAGTTTCGGTCCTGAAAAACAGACTCAGGGTAATCCGGAAAAAAAACAGCGACAATGCACAGGTGTAGTATTTGTTTCACGAGCCTTGTAGGTCAGCTAAAAACCTCACACTGTGCCCCATAGGTAACATGTGGATTCAGAAGGTGCTCTAAGTGATGACTTAAACGATACAACCATTTCCTGCATGTAAAACAAATTCCATTACGTAGACCATGTGATAGATGTTTCGACTACTGACACTTTGTAAGTATAATGAGACTTCATGCTACACCACTACCTCATCTTTTGAGAGTCGTACATACAGTGCAATATGAATTCTAAGTTCAGAAAATTAAATGTTTAAAGTCGTGAGGGAAGTGTTGAGTGATCCGCGATGTTTACGGCCAGTATATTGTTTCCTACACAGTGAATCCCAGACAATTTTCCAGTCGGTTACAATTTGCAATAGTTCAACCATTTTCGGTCTTTTGCTGCATTATAGCATTTGGAATAGATATAATTCATAGGCTTACTTTATCATAACCATTTAACCGCCAAGACATCAAACTTTGCATCTTGTCATCATTCTTACTATTCGTCCCCCTGCATATTGGCATCTGATTGGGTCCGTGTTTGGAAACCCGTAGCTGTTTATGCTTAATGTAGTGGTGTTTAATGGAGTTTAATGGTGTTTAATGTAGTTGTGTAAGTAGGGTGAGGATATTAGTGCATAGGTGGGGATTAGCCATAGCACAACTCAGAAGGAGTATGCACTAATAAAAGTCTTTAGCTGTGATTGACAGGGGCGATTTGTAGCATGTATAAAATAAAGAGCAATATAAAATGCGGAGCGAGCCAACAGGGAACTTATCGTATGTGAGAGTCCCTTGGCAAAAGTTCGGACGGCGGGAACGTGTTTTTCTCCGCAGTGCGACTGCTACACGTATTCCATGGTTGTCCGTGGACTTGTGGAGAGGCTGACTTCCTGCTCCCTGCGCGCGCGTGAGTCTGTGTGCTGCTGCCCCTACATGTAGGTCCGTTTGCACGTACGTGGGCGCGTCAGCACGTGAGTGGTTGGTACGCTCTTTAGACGGTGCAGACAATCGACGTCTGATGAGTCACCTTAATGTGACGTGGTTGTGGGCATGAAAAAGAGACAAGTCTCGTGATCCAGTGGGCGACTGTGGGGTGAACAGTCAAGTGTGTGGGTGACTGGGTCGCTACAAGGACAAGATTTTCCGTTTGCAGACTTATCTGGGTGTTTGAAGCACTATGAGCGATAATGGTAGGCCAAAGTGTCTGAGCGCCATATTCTGCATGCTCTCGACGCCCCAGTGATATGACCCTCCTATTGGATAAGAACCCATGAAAAGTTTGTGGGCCATGAATGACCGGATTTTTTGTGTAAATAAGTAAAACCTACTTTCTGGACAACCCTTTGTAGAATACTTTCTTATTTCGGTGCATTTTGTACCTCGTGTTTTCGCTTTCTCTTGGAAGTTCTGCTTAAGTCCCAATTAATTTTCCTTTTCCTAACCATTTTTCTGATTTACGGATCAAATGGACCATTTTTTATTTGTTTGACAAAATAGTTCACCAATGAGAACTGCCAGGTTC